AGACCGCAAGATATTTAATTGATTCATATGCCTTGTTAAGTAGCTGAGCCAATTTAGTTGCATATTGCATGTGTTACATTTGTCATATTGCATAGTTAGGAATCATGCATTTTTTTTAACTCGTTTCTCTTTTTTCGCTTGGAGGACTAGGTGAGCCTTTACTTCGCTTTAGTATATTGCATTTATGTGATTGTTGCCATGTTTAGCATGCTTTCCATGAGGCTAATTGTTTAATAGCTATAACTGCTTGAATGCCTGTGGATGAGACCCAATTTGAAAATCGAAAACCAATCCTTCTGGGTGTGGATGTTAGTATTGCTTAATTGAAGGCAGATCTAGACCTTCACGTGGGCTACTCAAAGTTCTTTTTGAAATTCTACACATGGACTTGGAGAAGGAAAATCTCTTTTTTCTCAAAAATGCTTATTTTGTTTTGAGTTGTGTCCAGCAAATAGTTGTTGGGATTTTTATTTTCATGGTCTTTTCTTGCGTTGTTGCGCCAGTTGAGTCTATTCCTTTAAGTCGCTCTCGTGTCCCTTAGGTCTTCATCTTTATAAAAAAGTGGGAGTTAAGTTCCTGATCATTTTATCGTGCCTAGAGTGATGCATGTGTGACTTTTTTAAAAAATAGAAAAAACTTTGAATTTTTGTTTTTGAATGAGATTTCATTAATAAGCTCAAGTGTTGAGAAGGATCCCCCGAATGGTTTAAGTGAATTCTGACTTATCTGGGCAAAATCATTCATGATTTCAAAATTTTAAGTTGTTTCTTTCGTAAAACTTGCGAAGATAGGTTCAGAATTGTGTGTGGTATTCTACATTGTCCTGGGGATTCTTTTCGCCGTTATGCGATCATTTTGGCAAGCACAGAGCGACTTTCAGACCTGCAAGTAAAAGGTCAGACCTCACAGGTCATGGAATTTCTTCCCTGTTGTTTTCATTATTTCAAAGAGAAAAGGATAAAAGAAACCTAAAAGAAAGAAGAAAAAAGAGGAAAAAAAAAAAAGAAAAGAGAAAAGAAAAGGAAAAAAGAAAAAAGAAAAGAAAAAAAGGAAAATAAGTCAACCATCAAGCCAGGGGCATCCATTCGAATGAAATCCAATCAACTGTGAGGAAGGGAACTTCTGTCCGAATTCAGGGAAGCCAATGCAAGAAGGTACCACATTGTTTGAAGAACCAACTCTGAAAATGGAGTGAAAAGAAAGGAGAAAGACATGCATAAGAGAATAGAGAACCAAGCTCAAATCAAGGCGAAGCCAGCTCCAGTGTTAGGGTAAGGATAATTATTGATCAAATTCACCAAGTGTTGTAACGCTATCCTTAAGAGGCTCGCTAGGCCGAAAACCTGAAAGAGCGACCCAGGGAAAAGTTAGAGCAGAAAAATTAGAAATAAAGAAAAACTGAGCTCGCAAGGTTGAAAACCCTAAAGGGCAGCTTTGGCAAAAGTTAGAGCGCAAAAGGAGAGGGTCAATACCCGAGTGAACCTCAGCTATGAACTACGTTGATCTGATTCCTGTTTTTGGGATACGTAGGCAACTTCATCCTCAAGTTCGTTCTCAACCATATCTATCATATTCATCTCAACCTAATCATCTTGCCCAATTCACATCGTCAGCTTTGCATCAACCCATAAGCTACACCGACTGTGGTCCATATCACATACTTGCGTGCGTTGGGTAAGAAAGAACTAACTTGAATCAATAAGTGGAGAAATTTTCAATATTTGAACTTATCAGTAGAATCTCTATCTTGAGCAACAAAAAAAGTGAATCAAAACTCGGGTTTTCCAAAATTGAGTTCTAAAGGGAACATAAGTAATACAAGGGGCACTCTTCATCGAGTCTGTCGCTCAAAGTTCATCAGAGTAGCATCGTCAAAATTCTATACACGAAGGTTTACTCCAAGCTCTAAAACAAGTCCATGCGTGGAATTCATAAACAAATTGAGAGCGCCCATACAAGGGGCAACGCATTCACGATTAGTGTATATAAGGAATCCGTCATTGCTTTGGAGGCGACTAGAGTAAGTTCTCAACATGCCGGGATAAAAGGGAAACATGAGTCTGATTGGTTGGCAGCTGTTCTAGGATCTAATGATCCCCATCGCACGTGCCTGCATAATGTTGAAAACTGGTGGCCAATGACTGGACACTAGGGGCAATTTTCAATATATCTGACCGGGTCATCCATCGAACAAAGTGAATAACGTTGAAAACGGTGGCCAGTGATTGGACACCAGGGGCAATTTTCAGTGCATCTGATTGGGCCATCCATTGAACAAGGGGCATGAACCCAACCGGTGGCCAATGACTAGACACTAGGGGAAATTTTTAGTGCGTCTCATTAGGTCATCATTCGAACAAAGGGCATGAACCCAACCTTTCCCTCAGTCTGCTCAATGCCTTTTGTTAGGTCCTTTTCCTAGATTAGGGTAGGCTCACCCCCATGATGATTCTAATATGATTCAACTTTCGAAAGTTGTCTCCAACCATTTCAAAACTGTCTTGGGATTACCATCTTCCCTCTAATTAATACATGTGCTTTATGCATGCATGCATGCTCATACACTCTGGTTGATTTGAAATGCATGATTGGTTGCTCTTACTCTTAACTGTGTTCTTTGCTTAACAGAGTTTCGTTGAGTTACCTTCTGCAGTGTTTTTTTAGTTACATTTATTGCATCTTACATGGCACTATTTTGTGCATTCATCTTGCATTGCACTATTTTGTGCATTCTTCTTACATCGCACTATTTTGTGCACCCTGTACCGCACTATCTTGTGTATTTTGCCTTGTATCGCACTATTTTTTGCACCTTGGATCGCACTATCTTGTGCATTTCACCTTGTATCGCACTGTCTTGTGCAAACTTGAATCACATTATTTTATGCATTCCCTTGCATCACACTGTCCTGTGCACCTTACATCGCACTATCTTGTGCACCCTGTATCGCATTGTCTTGTGTAATCACAGCTATTTCATGCATTCCACCCACATTGCACTGTCTTGTGCACCCCTACATTGCACTATCTTGTGCACCCTCACTCCCACTCTCTTGTGTACCCATTTAGCACTGTTTTGTGCATTCACCCTGCATCGCACTGTTTTGTGCATTCATCTTGTATCACACTATTTTGTGAACCTTGAATTGCACTGTCTTGTTCACTCATATAACACTGTTTTGTGCATTCATTCACCCTCACTTACACTGTCTTGTGCACCTGTATTGCGCTATCCTGCGCATTCACCTATGTTGCACTGTCTTGTGCAAACTTGCATCGCACTGTCATATGCATCCATTTGGCACTATTTTGTGCATTCACCCTGCATTGCACTGCTTTGTTCATTCCCATTGTATCACACTGTCTTGTGTATTTACCCTGTATCACACTATCTTGTGCATTTATCTTGCATCGCACCGTCTTGTGCACTCATCTTGCATCGCATCATCTTGTGCACCTGCATAGCATTGTTTTGTGCAATCATTCACCCCGCACTATCTTGTGTACTCACCTGGTCTAGGAGACCTTAGATCCTCTAAAGGTGCAATTCCTTTGGTGTTTGTCATGTTCAAATGACTTTAGGTGGTCTGGTATAGCCACCTGCTTATGTTTGCGATGAGTTCCTAGGAGACCAACTGAGACGGTGGAAACTAGAGTACAAATGGCCAAGGTCTAGAACGCAAAGGTTTGGAATTTCCAAGACTAAAGTCTGGTTTAAATACCCAGGGGTGTATCCTCGGGTTGAAATTTGTTTGGCAGCCCCATAGGACAATAAAGCTCAAAGAGAACGCAGAAGTTGAACAATTCATCAACTGCTCTTGCCGAGCACAATTCAGCTTGGCAAGAACATAGGAGTTGAACAATTCATCAACTAAGCTTGCCGAGTAGAGTTATCTCGGCTAGAAGCTTGGGAACTAGTTGCCCCTTGTCCATGGCAATTCATTAGAAAAAGAAATGTGACAAATTTTCAAGTGAACTAAGCCTTTGTTTCCATTACACAGATTTCTTGTGACATCGAAAAACTTACATCACAAAATGCAGGGGTTACATTGAAAGCAAGGTTAAAAGTAAATTAACTTTAAATTTACCGTGTTCCATGGCTGGGGTATGGTTTCGCCGTCTAGATCTTCCAAGTGGTGGGGCCCTTTTCTTGCCAAACCGGTTATCTTATAGGGTCCTTCCTAATTTGTCCTTAGTTTTCCTTCGCCAGGTACCAAAGTGTTGCCCATCACTTTACGCAGAACCCAATCCCCAATTTTGAACTATCTAGGATGAACTATTTTGTTGTATTTCTTGGACAGTTCTCGTTGGTATGCCACAACGTGGATCAGTCACTACAAGAATTAACACTTTTGGCAACAAAAAAATTGGTCGCTAAAAGTCTATTTTTGGTCGGCAAAAGTTATCTGCGACCAATTTTTTTGGTCGCTACTTTGGTCGCCAATTGAGGGTCGGCAAAAGTAATTCGCGACCAAAATTTTGGTTGGTCGGCAAAAGTTGGATTTGCCGACTAAATTTTTGGTCGCTAAATATTTAATTACCGCGACTAATTCATTTTGTCGTTAAAACACTTTGGTCGCGAAAAGTGATATTTTCCCGACCAAATATATTAGTCGCCAATTGACACATTTCGCGACTAAAAAGTTTAGTCGCCAATTATCACATTCAACGACCAAAAAGTTTGGTCACCAATTGTGACATTCCACGACCAAAAAATTTGGTCGCCATTTGTTACTTTTCGCGACCAAAACTTTTGGTCGGCAAAAGTGAGTTTCCACGACCAAGAGCTGTTTTGGTCGGTAATAGATGTATTTTTTGCGACCAAAACTCTTGGTCGGCAATTGTCATTTTTAGAGAAAAAAAATTATTTATTTGTCGCGACTAATAAATTGGTCGCCAAAGCAGGAAAACAATACACTTGTAGTTCCTAATAATTCATTCAATCCATAATGAACCTATAATTTTAAAGCATCATTCAAATTAACTGAATCATTCACATTCGACACGATACATAATTCATTAACATTCGACACAATACAACTATTCTAAGTTTTCATTCACAAGTCACATCCATCTAAGCTACATACTAAACTTTACGTTCCCAATATATACATTCATGCAGCAGTGGCATGAAAGTTACCCTTAGATGGCTTCGCACATTCGCTTGCTTCTTCCATTCTCTGATTCTCCTACTTAATGTATTGGGAAAGCCACTTCAGTTATTAGAAAATTGCGGTTAATGTGGCAACCCTTTTTCAGTCTTGTACCAGCTGATAATGTCTGAGTAGCATGCTTACTTCCTGCAAGATCAACGAAATTCTGGACAAAGAACCAACTTACATTTTACATTTCTCACTAAACGTCCTATAAAAACAAGAATTATTCGAAAAAAGCTCCTTGCACAAATAATCTTTACTGGCCACTAATCTCAGTAAAAATAACTCTCCATACCACAGAGGCTGAAAGAGTGCTCGAGCTTTCACTACCTAAGAATTCATGACCACAACTTTCAACTATCTGCAAGAATCAATTATTATGTAAAGTCAATGAAGAGGTTAAACACTTCAAATTTGTATTAGGCAATAACTACTTCCGGAAAGGACAGCATACCAGTCGGAGAATTTGATAAGATCCGGAACTCGTTTCATTCAGAGAGGTCTCGCCTATTTGTCTTTGAGCTGCACGAACGCAATGCACTGAATAGACTTACAATATCATCCAAGAAAACAGGACTACTATGACCAATTGACGATACTTACCTTCACAAAAAGAGAGGAGCTCCTTTAGATGGTCCCAGTCCCTCAAAATCTCCTCTGTAAGTTTCTCGACAATGGTTCCTCTCTGCAAAAGAGAGAAGAGACCAGCTAAAGATGTTTGTGAAAATTCAGTTTAATGTCATTTGTATTCACATCAAGTACAATATTCACCTTTGGATAATCAAGTAGCCTAAGTGGGTCACTAGCTGGGCTTAAGAGGTCTTTGACAGCTTCATTGTAAATCTCAATTGCAGAGAATTTCAATACAAATTCCCTATCATTATGCTAGATGTTGAAAAAAATACAGCAACATTGAGTAGGAATTCGTACAAGTGTAATTGATTTCAGAAAACAATATTGGGAAAAGAATGGCATTTTTAATGTACCATATGTATGTAGTCAAATAAATCAGCTACAGCATGTTCAGTAATGCCAGACATTGTGTATGTCTTTCCACTGCTTGTCTGCCCATACGCAAAAATAGTTGCTACAAAAACATTTTAATGGTGAAAATTTTCACTACTTGAAGTAACAAAACTTCAGCAAAATAAGGAAACAATGGATGAGAAGAATGCTCACAATTACTTATATTTTCGACCCACAACAGAAATTACTTAAATTTCACTACTTATTTTTTACCCACGGCAAAATAAGGAAACATCGGGAACACACCATAATAATTTTGACCCACAACAGAAATTCCTGCCATCTGTATATACTCAAATCAGTTAAAAACTCTAAAACAAAACCAAACTCAACTGAAACTACTTAAATAGCTAGACATGTGGCCCTAGAAATGTACAGTCAGATAGCCAATTCTAAACAGTTGGGACAAGGCTCTGTTGAGAAAGAATAAATGAGATAGGGTGTAAATGGTTTAATGAAAATAAGAGTCTTTATAAAATTACAAAGTCAGAGTTGTGGTGTGTACACCATCAAAAAGTTAGAAAACATGTGAAAATAGCTATTATTAAACAAGAATGTTAATGCTGATCACCTAAAATATAGAATAGAAGGGCCATCTAATACAACCAAAAAAGAAAAAAAAAATAGGTAGACATTGAAAATCACAAATTTTAAGTGTTCATTGCATCCACTCGAAACAATAAAATCTTACTAGTTATAGATTTAAAGGGGTATGAATTGCCAAAAATTCCAAATACCTCAGTCAGTGTAACAGATATTGGATCAATGAAAAATTACCATCTCAAACCTTAACATAGCAGAACCAGAATGAAACACAGACATACCGTTGTATCAAGTTTCCAACCAACAGCTGCGGCAGCAATCTCCACGCCAATGTAACCACCAACAACAACAACCACCTTCTGTGCTTTCTCTTATAAAATGAAAACCAGTGTGTGACAAAATCCCCTCTACAGATCCTAATTTAAAAAAGTAAAAAATAAGAAAATAAAAATCTAACTATTTTCAAAAGAAACTCATAGCATTTGCCATTCGGTTATCGTTAAATACAACTTAACAAGCTTGTGTATGTAGAGTTTTACAACAGAAACATTAGCTTCATCACCATATTATTAACCTGAAGAAAGTAGAATTAAGTTGACAACCAAAATATGATAAATAGATAAATGATAAGTGTAACAAATGAAAATTACCAGTGATAATATCAGTGAATCAGCATTTGCAACATCCCGAATATAGTGAACACCGGGTAAGTTTCTGCCAATCTTCTCTAGAAATCTGAAGCCAAGGAAACAAGCATTTAATGGATTAAAGGAAGGAGGCTTGTGACTCCCTTTCCATGTTTTCAAGTTGAGTGTAGTAAAGGAATTCTCATAAGAGCAGCTTTAAAGGGAATAGGGGTGAAAACCTTCATAGGAGTGGAAGGACTTTAATTCCATCTTCTTGCTTTCCACATTTACCCACATCATGCAAATCTTCAAACTCAACCTGCAGTTCCTTCACTAAACATTTTGCAAATTCACATCAACTAACCCATGAGCCACCTAGATACAAGTTAAACAACAGAACATCCAAGGTTTTGCATACTTTCTACATGATCTGTTTATTGTCCTTAAATTGATCAGCAATGGGAATAATGGAAGTGAAAAACTTCAGTTATTTGATTAAGATTTTCACTTCCATTATTTGATTAAGAAGATAGAGAAAAGTCATGTCATTGCTTCATTTTTTATTATTATTATTATTGAAAAAAGAAAAAGAATGTAAGATCTTTCTTTGGAACACAATAGTAGTAGTGGCCAGAGAGGGAGCAAGGACAAGTTCGTTCTTCACCTTTACTTTAAAAAATAAATCAATGTAAAATGAAAAGAGAATAAGCAATTTGACAACTGAATATAAAAGAAATGCATGTAGTGGCTCATAGGATAACAAAGAATTAGTTAAGCAGTTGCTATACTAGAAACCTCACCTTTAGAGGAACTAGATTTTGTACAGACTAGTCTCCATATGGGAGTAACTATTTTTTGCTTTTTCCAATCCATAACACATTGCCTATCTTTTGCACCAGCCATTTTCCACTCATGGTTCAGACTATGATGAAAACTGCATTCCTACACAAGAGTTAGCAGCAACAATTAAGCTAACAGCAACTTGAATAAGCTTAACCTCACCTATTATGAGCCCTGTCAAAGCAATAGTTTGGTAGCCAAAACTGACAACAGGACCATATGGCTTCAAAAGCATTCTTTTCAAACAGGTTTTTCTTTTCCTTTTTCTGAAATATGTTACATGATTCCCAAAAAGAAAACACCTCTATCTTTTTTTTCAAGCTTAAGATAAACAAATATGTTTGAAGGTCAACATCCTCAGTATACTAGAACCAATGCAGGTCCTCCTCATCTGTGCATTTGGGGAAAAGGGAATTGAAAGTCCATTGGTAGCATGGAGAAGCTTGTTCTTAACAAGATTAATTCTTCCTTGAACCATTTATGGGATTTGTAGACAATTTATGTTATTGTTGTTTCATACAAAAATATCTAGCTTCTCTTTTGATGTACACCCTCTATACATGGATTGCACCTCCTTTTAATGTGCCTTTTTGGCATATGTTTACTTATTAGGAAAAAGAAAGGGAAGCAAGAAAGAGGGAAAAAATTGCATTAGAAATAATAAAAATTTCTTGATTCTCCTTGATTGTTGATAGTCATGTTTTCCACCTAATAACATCCATCAACCCACTGGGCAGAGGCAGATCCATCCCCACCACCAGTTCTGCCCACCAACCTAACACTAATCTCCTCAATCCTCTCTTCTTCCACCTAATTCATCTTTTTCACTTTTTCCCTCCCTTTAACATTTTCATTTACCGTAACCATATTACTCTTCTTTATTGTTGCATCTATAGGTCTTCATTGAACATGATAAACAAAATAAACCCAACTCTATTATTGCACTCTGAGAACTGAGCATGAAATGGAGACCAACTCTTAAACAAAATAATGAAAGATCAATGTTTGGTAAGAACTAGAAGTCCAAAGACCAATTCCTGAATACAGATAGACATTTTGACAACAAATCACATTTACCCACATCATGCAAATCTTCAAACTCAACCTGCAGTTCCTTCACTAAACATTTTGCAAATTCACATCAACTAACCCATGAGCCACCTAGATGCAAGTTACACAACAGAACATCCAAGGTTTTGCATACTTTCTACATGAGCTGTTTATTGTCCTTAAATTGATCAGCAATGGGAATAATGGAAGTGAAAAACTTCGGTTATTTGATTAAGATTTTCACTTCCATTATTTGATTAAGAAGATATAGAAAAGTCATGTCATTGCTCCATTTTTATTATTATTATTATTATTGAAAAAAGAAAAAGAATGTAAGATCTTTCTTTGGAACACAATAGTAGTAGTGGCCAGAGAGGGAGCGAGGACAAGTTCGTTCTTCACCTTTACTTTAAAAAATAAATCAATGTAAAATGAAAAGAGAATAAGCAATTTGACAACTGAATATAAAAGAAATGCATGTAGTGGCTCATAGGATAACAAAGAATTACTTAAGCAGTTGCTATACTAGAAACCTCACCTTTAGAGGAACTAGATTTTGTACAGACTAGTCTCCATATGGGAGTAACTATTTTTTGCTTTTTCCAATCCATAACACATTGCCTATCTTTTGCACCAGCCATTTTCCACTCATGGTTCAGACTATGATGAAAACTGCATTCCTACACAAGAGTTAGCAGCAACAATTAAGCTAACAGCAACTTGAATAAGCTTAACCTCACCTATTATGAGCCCTGTCAAAGCAATAGTTTGGTAGCCAAAACTGACAACAGGACCATATGGCTTCAAAAGCATTCTTTTCAAACAGGTTTTTCTTTTCCTTTTTCTGAAATATGTTACATGATACCCAAAAAGAAAACACCTCTATCTTTTTTTTCAAGCTTAAGATAAACAAATATGTTTGAAGGTCAACATCCTCAGTATACTAGAACCAATGCAGGTCCTCCTCATCTGTGCATTTGGGGAAAAGGGAATTGAAAGTCCATTGGTAGCATGGAGAAGCTTGTTCTTAACAAGATTAATTCTTCCTTGAACCATTTATGGGATTTGTAGACAATTTATGTTATTGTTGTTTCATACAAAAATATCTAGCTTCCCTTTTGATGTACACCCTCTATACACGGATTGCATCTCCTTTTAATGTGCCTTTTTGGCGTATGTTTACTTATTAGGAAAAAGAAAGGGAAGCAAGAAAGAGGGAAAAAAATTGCATTAGAAATAATAAAAATTTCTTGGTTCTCCTTGATTGTTGATAGTCATGTTTTCCACCTAATAACATCCATCAACCCACTGGGCAGAGGCAAATCCATCCCCACCACCAGTTCTGCCCACCAACCTAACATTGATCTCCTCAATCCTCTCTTCTTCCACCTAATTCATCTTTTTCACTTTTTCCCTCCCTTTAACATTTTCATTTACTGTAACCATATTACTCTTCTTTATTGTTGCATCTATAGGTCTTCATTGAACATGATAAAACCATCTTAGTATGTTCTCACTTCACTTATCTTCAATTGGTTACCATTTCATGAATATATCCATTTCTAATCAAGGTATTGCTTCTATGAGAAATAAAGGCATTTCTAATCAAGGCATTTCTGAACAAAAATCACTAGACATGAAAAAGGCATTGCTTCTATGAGAAATATAGATATTTGGAAATATTTTATTTTTCTAGTTATAGAACAGGGTTTTGGTGAAAATATTGAGGGCTATTCTTGCATGTAAACTGTAACTGGCAATAGTAAGTTTGCTATTTTTCTGGTAAGAGAGAAAAAGGAAGAAAAAAAAAAAAGATGGCAAGAATCTAGGATTCCAACAAGAACAATATGCACATTGTCTTTTTCCAAGTCCTAGCCCACATCAACTATGCTGCATCAGCTTCCTGATGGATTGAAGACGAAGGGACTACATATAAACTTTGTTCAAAAGGTATCATGAAGCCACTATTTGAATTAACAAACTTCATGGACCCAAAACACCACAATAAAAATTATCAAATCATACTTTTCCCCGGACATCAATTAACTTCATCAACTGAAGATCCATGCATGCAATTTATTATTGCACTCTGAGAACTGAGCATGAAATGGAGACCAACTCTTAAACAAAATAATGAAAGATCAATGTCTGGTAAGAACTAGAAGTCCAAAGACCAATTCCTGAATACAGATAGACATTTTGACAACAAATTATAAACCCACCACTACATCAAGCAGCTGCATTCCAATTCACACAAAAATTATGGGATTAAAACAAGCCTAGGTATCAAAGTGGAGTAGTAGACAATTAAAAAAATACACAGAGAGTGGTAGAAACAATACATCCTCTACTCTTTAGCAGATTCAGGGTAAAATTGAAAATTAACTCTAGTTATATAATGATAGACATTCATTTTGGCATACAAGTAATCCATGAATGTTAGCCATAATATGGTAATAAGGTCTTGACATAGACGTGATGTTCCCATGATGAATCAATCGATTTAATGTGGGCATCACTCTTAGGAAGATACTTTTCCAACTCCTGGCAGGGTTAGTGAGTTGTGTAATAGGCAACCATTTCGTGTGGTTGGGGTCAACATGTTAATATCTGATTCTATAAATAAAACAATTAATCCTCAAATATGTAAAAGTTCATTTTTTCCTTTTGGTGGAGTTGGGGGAAGAAAAAGGAAATCATTTTAGAAGGCAACAAATAAATGAGATGCGCACTCTTAACTTGATAAAAAAATTGTACCGAAATGCTATGATAAGTCGATTTGTAGTGAAGTACCTTCCACTGAACCAAATGGGATATTGCCATCCTCAAGACCTGAGAAAGAGTACCAGGCAGGAAATCATTTAGCAGAACAAACACTGATGCCTTTGCAGGAGAGGCACAAAGCAATATACTTATAATAAATAAAAAATAAAAAAACCCAAACCAAAGGCACCGCTTTTATAAAACTCTGGAACAGTAAGAGCAAGAAATAGAAATGTCAAGATAAACAGCTAATTTCACATATGATCACAAAATGAAATGGAGTAACCCAAAAGGCAGTGGGTAGTTATGTATTTGGTAACAACTTCTGTTAGAGCATCTAAAACCCTTCACCAATTTTTCATCTAAATTTATTCAAAATTTGAGTAAAAAACTAGATTTGATATAAACTACTCCAATCCTTTCATCAAAATCTTTTAAAAATTCGTCTCTTCTCCAATGCTTTATATTTTCAAATTCAAATTTGATGAGTTCTCAATTTCATTAAAAAAAATATATAAAACCTCTCCCTTGATTTGATGAAAGGATTGGAGATGGTTTTTTAGCACTTTACGTGTTATTAAACATGCACAGATAAAAGTTAGCTCAAAAAGCAGAGTACATGTCATTGCTATTTAAATGGCACACTCACTGTTAGTGTAGATGATATTTCAAATTAAATTTTGATCCTTAACTGTAACTATAACTAGAGAAGCTGGCCTTAATCAAATTGTTTATCCAAGCAACCAAAGTAAGAAAAAAGAAAAAAAAGAGTTGTTGAACAACTCCAATCCCAAACCATTTTATGCATGCATTTTCTATTTGAAAATCGTAAGTTTAATCAGTTTATGATGCATTTGGCCCTCCATTTTAAACACTAGAACCAACCCACAGTTATCAGTCTATCAAGGTTTATATGATTGATCCATATCACACATCAAAACAGTGGGTTGACACCTTGGCTCTACTAAACACATCATATTCAATTTAACAATTTTCTAGAAAAGGCAACTGTTAAACTTGGAATTAAATAAATTATAATGAATAGGATTAAGAGGTGTTGCGGTTCATGGAAGTGGTAGGCACACAAAAAATTTTGAGGGTTTGACAGCTCTGTACTGCATTCACTAAAATTATTGATTGCTTTTGTAGTTACATGTGATGACCGCAATATTAAAGACTTTGAAACATGTCAAGGAGAAAACATGATCAACAAACAACGAAACAACTACATTACACAATAAGGATAAGAAACTAACATAATATTTTGACATGCATATCTCTTGACAATTTGTGGATTTTGATTTTTTTTCACTCCATTTTAAGTCAATTTGTGCTATGCTTTCGAAATGTAGAACAGGTAGCACAAAAAATAAAAACACATAATTTCTTCCAAGCTATAGAGTTCCTACCATCCTCTGCGTAGGTACTTGCCCGACCTTGTCGCCCGAAATCTCTGAGCAGACAGTTTACAAAGTTTAAAAGGGGTAATTCCTTCTTGATTGTGTGCTTTAACAGATGTAACCAACGTGTTTGTGATGTTCAACAGAGCTTCAGCATCTGCAGCTTGTTCTCTAGGTTTCTGTACTGAAAACCAAATTAAAGAAAGCAATATTGTCAAGAGGACAGTTAATTACCAGAATCGTTCATTGATAATCGAATTGAACTTGTCCGAATCAACCCTTGATAAATCATCTCTCTCATCTACAACAAAGAGCAATCAGAAACGAAACAAAAAATAATAATAATAATAACCAAATAAAATTAAGAATTTGTTAAGAGGAAAGTTAATTACCAGAAATTAGGGTCCGAACAGCGAGATATCGAGATCGAAGAACTCTGCGTTTGGCGACAAGTTCAGGCTCAGAATCATTCGAACTTGCTTCAACATCATTCTCTGCTATGTTCCTTCTTTTGCTAGTACTTGGTTCGCCTTTCACTTGGGTATCTGAACGAAATTAGGGCTTAACTAAAAAAAGACTAAAATGGAGCGGAAGAGAGACAAACTCACAGATTAGAAGAACAATAAGCCGGTGAGGAAGAAGCAACTATGAATAAAAGGGTTTCAAAGAGAGATGAGAGAGGAGAAAATGAAAATGTGTGAGCTAACAGATTCTAAAGATAAAAAATTTCAATTCCCCCCCCCTCCCCCCAACGTTTCAAATTTCCCTCCCAAGTTTTTGGCAACCAAAATATCAGATTAGTCGCAGAAAATGTACCCTTCGCCGCCAAATTTTTTTAGTTGCCAAATCTCAATCAACGGCGACTAAAATATTAGTTGCTAAAAGTGTTAATTTGGCAACTAATTTTTTTTAGTTGCTGAAAATAAGTTTTTGGCGACCAAATTTTTGGTCGCCAAAAAAAATGTCACCTTTTGCGACCAAATTTGTAGTTGGTAGCCAAAAGCATACCACTTTCTGCGACCAACTCTTTTTTTGGTCGCCAAAATATAACCTTCTGTGACCAATAATATTCGGTCGCCAAAAATAATGATAATTCGCGACTAATTAATATTTGGTCGCCAAATGTCATTTTTTTGCGACAAAAATTTTTTTGGTCAGCAAAAGTGGTCGCCAAATGTGTAAATTCTTGTAGTGAGTGCCCTTTCTCTTCACTTTTCTGCAACGTCCGACTCTAGGGGGATTCCTTTCACGTTTAAGTCCGACTCAAAATTTTCACTTCTGATGGCGGGCATGCCGACCACCAGTGGGATGATCGCTTCCATGCCATATGCCAAGGCAAAAGGCGTCTCCCCTGTTGAGCGTCTTAGCGTTGTTTGGTAAGCCCAGAGGACATTCAGGAGTTCATCGGTCCATTTTTCCTTCGCTTTTTCTAGCCGTTTCTTCAAATCGTTAAGGATGGTCTTGTTTGAAGCTTCGGCCTGCCCGTTTGATTGAGGGTAGGCCAGCGTTGAATTGTAGAATTCTATCCTCAACTCTTCGCAGAACCATCTAAACAACTTTCCATCAAATTGGGTGCCGTTGTCAGAGGTTAAGGCTTTAGGGACTCCAAACCATTTTATTACATTATGCTAGACAAATTGCTTCACCCCCTTCTCCTTGATGCTTAAAATGGGCTCAGCTTCTACCCATTTGGCGAAGTAGTCTGTTGCTGCAATGAAGAACTTGTGGTTTCCTGGTGCAGTTGGGAGTTAACCCACTATATCCAATCCTCACATCACGAACGGCCAAGGGCTTGCAAGGGGAAGTAGTTCTTTGACCAATTGATGAATCTAGTGTGCAAATTTTTGACATTTTTCACACTTCCATACATACTTCTACGCATCGGCTCATATACATGGCCACCAATATCCCTGTGAAATAGCGCGGTAAGCCAAAGATTTTCCGCCAATGCGACTGCCACACAGGCCTTTATAGATTTCAAAAAGAAAGGCTTCGACTTTGCTCAGATGTATGTATTTCAAGTATAGCCCAGAGAAGGATCTCTTATATAAGGCGCCAGAAAGGGAGAGCCAAAACTGCTCAGACTTAGCTCGAATTTTGTTTGCTTCCTTCTTGTTGGTCGTCAGAACTCTAGCTTTGAGGAAGATGATGATGCGGTCCATCCAAGAGGGCCCTAGCTTGGTACAATGGACTTTTCTTGTTTCTAATTCTTCAATGCTAAGTCTTGGAAGGAATTCAATCAATAGAGGTCGAGGTGTTGATTTTTCAACCATGGAGGGCAGACCGGTTAACTCATCTGCTCGGCTGTTGCTTTCACGACCGATCTACTCAACCCTAACTACTTTAAACTTCTTGAGCTCGTCCCTTACCAGGGTCTGGTACTTGGCCATTCTATCATCCTTGGCTTCATACACTCTAGATACTTGGTTGACAACAAGTTGAGAGTCACTGTAAACCATTAGTTTGGATGCCTTTAGTTGAAGTGCTCTCTTCAGTCCAGCTAGCAACGCCTTGTACTCAACCTCATTATTAGACGCTGGGAACCCAAGTGTGATTGAATGTTCCATAGTTAGACAATCTGGTGAGATCAAGACTATACCTAGCCCTGCACCATGTCTGTTTAAAGCACCATCGATGAAGAGTTTCCACATTTCGCCGATGAAAAGTTTCCAACACTCTGGGGGATCTTGAGATTTTTGGGGAGCTAGGTCTTCTCCGTCTTTATTGCTTGGCTCAACAATTCTTGCTTCGAGCACGCCATCACTGATTGCAACTTGTATGACCTCCTCCCCCCTTGGCGAGGCGTTGTTGGATCCAACAAATTGTCCTGTTATTTCCAAACCCATCAGTGCATTGCTAGGTCCTTCTTGTACAATTGGTGGGTCAACGGCCCGGCACGCAACATCTGCGACGCCATCCCCATGTTGTTCAGTTAGTGGTATGGGATAAGATGGAGTGGGAGTTGGCTATGGTATTTCTGCGGTGCCAACCTCTGGTTGTCCGGTTGTATCGATGAGATCTACGGAGCAAACGGAGTGAGTCTGCGACAAAGTCAACCTATGCTTGGGCTTTTATGGCAGTTTTGGGTTGAAATTTGATGTCAAATTGCCCTACTCGATTGCCCATTTCAAAATGCGACTAGAGAAGTTAGCCCTTTTGAACAAGGCTTTTAATGAAAATTTCATTAGCACAATGATTGTGTGCGCATGAAAATAATGTGGAAACTTCGTGGAGGCCATCATTAATGCTAAGGCAAGTTTTTCGAGCAACAAGTATCTCAATTCTGCAGGGAGCAAGTTCTTGCTCACATAAAAGATTGGAAGATGTTTTATGCCTTCTGCCCTGACAGGCACTGCACTAATGGCATGCTGAGAAATGACCATATAAAGGTAGAGTTCTTCACCTTGCTTCGGTGGCGTGACAGGGAGTGGAGCAGATGTCATGACCCAAACCTGCCGCTAAAAGTCTGGGCCATAATCGGCCAGTAGTCTGTAGATTACTGAAGGCCTCAAACGATCATACAGAATATTATGGCTAATAGGGCCATAAACGAAAGCATATAATAATAAGAAGTCCTCTAAGCTGTGCCAATCATGAGTAAAATTATAAAGTTAACCTCATAATACAATCAAACATCTACATGCCCAAGAAAAATATAAGTACCATCGGAAATTTGTACATAATATTTACAAACCCAAGACCATAATAGCCAAAACAAAATAAGGTCAAGGTGTGATGTGAGTCAAAGAAAAAACTCTATCTCAGAGGCATGACTCGATGGGGTTACAAAATGGCTCCTGAAGCTGACTCTAGGGGTGTGCTCTATACTGCGGATTACCTGCATATGCATACATAAAATTTGGTGAGCGAAGCTCAATAAGTAATAATATAGTAAAGCAGTGTAAATAAATGATCATAAGGTTCTCACAATATCCAAAATCATATAAACAAACGGCCTTAGGCCCAATTATATAACAAAACAGCCTCAAGCCTGACATATATCAAAATGGCCCCGAGCCCAACATATATCAAAATGGCCTAGGGCCCAACATTTATCAAAACGGCCTCGGGCCCAATCATATATCAAAACGGCCTCGGGCCCAATCATATATGAAGATGGCCTCGGGCCCAACATTTATCAAAATGGCCTCGGGCCCAATCATTTATCAAAATAGCCTTGGGCCCAACATTTATCAAAATGGCCTCGCGCCCAACATTTATCAAAATGGCCTCGCGCCCAACATTTCTCAAAACGGCCTCGAGCCCAACATTTATCAAAACGGTCTCGGGCCCAACATTTATCAAAACGGTCTCGGGCCCAACATTTATCAAAATGACCTCGGGCCCAATATTTATCAAAACGGCCTCGGACCTACATTGCACATGTCATATAATATTAATAAAGTATCATATTTCAATCAATTCACAAAGTCAGCACCAATCACCATTCATGGTTCGAGGTACACAATAGGGAACATATATGTATGATATTATTACTCACCATGATTTAGGCCTTAATTAAGTTGCTGAATTACCATACAGGACGATCGTCAAGGATTGACATCATACAGAACATTTAAAGCAAATCATTAGCTTATACAAAATATCCAAGACGAATCATAGACAAATAACAGTTACTGAGGGTCAAAATACATTTTCTCAATTTATCATAATCATTGCTCCAAAGGAAACTCATTCATTCTTATCAAACCAATCTTTCAGAAACTTGCCCTAGCATAATTGCTCCAATGATTTCAAGCACAATTTATCCCTTCGAAAACATTCGTCAAGGCACATAATTTATACAAAGCATAAATTTCACAATTCCAAAGTATTTCGTATGAAAATACTGTTATAAAGAAATTACTCACAGTGCTTGGTCGGATGATCCACCTTAACGGCTCAACTTGTAGAAACATAGCCAACCATAACGTTTCAAAACTCATTTCCTTTAATTCACTCAATCAATTTATTCATACGTAACCATTCAATCGTTCCTAATGACACTTTATATTCTCTCATGTGTTTAAGGAAGTAGCAAAAAGTGAAAGTAAACTAAGTTAGGGTAAGAAATGGCATGAAATGGTTAAAGAGGAAATGAATAGCCCTCACTAATTTGAGCATATCTAATTGTGTACTTAGGATTTGGATGTGAGACCACACCATTAGAAACTAGACTTCAAGGCTTGAATTTAGGCTCAAGAATCGCTTAAAACAAAGTTCGAAGGAAGAAGATATATTTATTTGAAGTTACCAGGTATAAGCTGAAACAGGGCTGGCCGCACATGCGCCCACTTTGACCGCTCATGTAGCAACTGGGCCGCTCGTGCAGTGGTTTAAATAGAATACAATTTCCTGTTTTTCTTTATGTTCCGCTCGTGCGCAGCTCATGGCCGCTTGTGCTGTTTGGGAAAAATTAGACAGTCTGAAAATGGTTCAAAGATGCAACCTTTCCAAACCCATGTCCAAGTCCAAATCAAAGCAAAACTCACTCAAAAACATGATAAACTAATATTATATATGTGTAATCTCCAACTCAAACACATCAATCTTAGCTAGGGTTCAAAGATCAAAAGCTTATATTTCCTAATCTCAAGAGTTTCAAAACATAAACTCACAAATGCACTTGTATATGGAAGATCATTGCATAAATCTTGTTGTG